CTTGAGCCACAGCACCACTTCTGGTTTTCTGGTGGTTTATTGGAGATAGGAGTCTCACGGTCTCTCCTGCCCGGGCTGGCTTTGAACCGCAATCCTCAGATCTCAGCCTCCTGAGTAGCTAGGATTACAGATGTGATCACCATCATTCAGTCAAAATCGAGTCTTTAGTTCGGTTTCTCTCTTTCTTTCTTTGCTTTCACCCTGTCATACTAAAATACAACCTTGCTGAAACGTTCCCTGACGTGACTCTCCTCTTTATGAGGCAGCCTGCCATGCGTGGCTCTCAAGGACCTGAGAGTTGGTGTGGAAACTCCCGGCACACCAGAGCCAGGAGTTATGTCTCAGAGGCTTTGTGGAAACCAGTGTTGGTGGGGTCCCCAGAATCGAAAGGTTCACTGCTCTCCTAACTTACAGGGCCCTGATCCTCTAAAAAAAAATAATAAACTAAAAACCAAAAAACCCACCCAACATAGATCTCCCCATAAAAGTAAATGACTGGTCCTCTCTCCTAATCAGCCTGTCAACTGAATCTCCCAGGTCACCTCCTAAATTAGAGATTCCCTTCGCCCTGGAGCAGCTACTAAAGATGGACCATCTACGCAGTGTGTGTGTGTGTGTGTGTGTGTGTGTGTGTGTGTGTGTGTGTGTGTGTGTGTCCTCTACTTCTGGCTTTTTGCTGGTTGATTGGAGCTGAGACTCTCAGACTTTCCTACCCAGACTGACTTGGAACATTGTTCCTCAGATCTCAGCCTCCTAAGCAGCTAGGATTACAGGCAGGAGCCACCAGCACCTGGCCGAGGTGTGGCCAGGGTGTAGCCCAGGCTGGTCTCAAATTCCCAGTCCTTCTGCCTCATCCTCCCTGGAGATTCCTAGCCAGAGCCACTAGGGCCCACTTTTTTTTTTTTTAAACAAATGTTAGAAGGACCAAACACAAAAGTTAAAACTAGGAAGTAAACTAGGAAAAAGTAGATAAGCTTTTCTCCCACCTGATGGGGTTTTTTTTTGTGTGTGTGCGTTTTTTTAATGGCAAAAATCTGGAACTCTATAAATAGGTAGAGACGGAAAGAATGAAAAGACGCAGCTGGCAAAAGCACACCCTGAGGGCTCCCTGGGTTTTGGGGTGTCGCCTTCATACCTACTCAAAACCATTGTCTAAAAATTAGGAGTTGCCAGACTGACACGGCCATCTGTATTCATTCACCAGCTACAGAGAGAGCAGCCTTCATTCCCAGTCTTGAACTCCCATTTCCTGTTTCTCTCTCTTTTCTATGTCCCCCTACTTGACGTCTGTGAAACATTGTCTTAATAATAAAGTAAATAGGAAAATGAAAAGCAAAACCCCCAGCAAAGCTGGGAGAAGGAATGATCTCCACCACCACCACCACCCAAACATCTGGGCGGCTTCTACCCACAGCAACTCCCAGCTAAAGATCAAAGGGATATCTTGGCCAGGCCTTGGGCTCCACCTCACGTCGGCAGGGCCAAGGAAAAGATACCCTCGGGCCTTTGGCTCCATAGAATAGACGATAAGAATTTGCCCTTTGCACACAGGATTTCCAGCCTCAGTAGTGGGCTTTCTCTGTACAAAGTAGAGGGGTCCTCTTTGAGCTACCTCAGCTCCACAAATGTAGCAAGTGATCCAGCCTTGCAACCCCAATTTCATAGCTAAGCATATTTGTATGTTTATTGATACTGGTCCTGGAGCTCAAGGCCGGCACTCTACTACTTGAACTACAGCTCCACATCGGGCCTTTTGCTGGTTACTTGGAAATAAGAACTGCGATGGCTTTTCTGCCTGGGCTGGCTTTGAAGCGTAATCCCCAGATCTCAGCGAGGATTACAGGTGAGAACCACCAGACACCTGGATTATTTGCTTACTTACTTGGCAGTGCTGGAGGTGAAAGCCAGAGCCTCCTCCCTCGGGCTGGGTGGTAAGCCCCTCCCCCGCTCCCTCCCCCCATAACCCAGTCTATAACCCAGATTCAGCAGTTCCCCAAAACTGGGGCAAGAGACAGACGTTGTCTTTCTTTTACAGCAGCAAGGAGTATGTATACACACCTCCTCCTGTACCCGATAGAGATCGAGTATGCTCTAGACCTTCCCACAAGTGCTGGGTCTTGACCCTGGTCCATTGGATGTCTATAAAACAGATTGCAAATGAGTAGGAAGTCCCGCCCCCATCCGCACACACTGCCCCCAGCAGGAGACCAGGGTTCTCTAGGGTTCTCCTTCCTAATCATCCAGCCATGTGGGGACCATAATGCCTTGGGGAGGGGCGTTGCCTAGGCTTGAACTCAGGGCCTGGGCACTGTCCCTTATCTTTTTCACTCAAGGCTAGAGCTCTACCACTTGAGCCGCACAGAGCTCCACTTCCGGCTTCTTTTTGCTGGTTAACTGGAGATCAGAATCTCGTGGACTTTTCTGCCTTGGACTAGCTTTGAACCCTGATCCTCAGATCTCAGCTTCCTAAATAGCTAGAATTACAGGTATGAGCTACCAGTGCCTGGCTCAGGATGATTGTTTGAGAGGAAGCTGAGTCTCACCCTGACCGAGTCCCTGTGGTGTGCCAAGCCATTAATAAGGACAACTTGGCAGTGTCCTGGCTCCTTTCAGCAGATGCCAGGAGCACCTGATTCCTCCAGGGCTAAGAAACGACCAGAAAGGGCAACTCCTCATATAGGACCACACAGCAGCTGCTGAGGGCCAACTTTGTCTCACTTTGATCTCAGGAACCGTGTCAGGCTGGACACTGCTGCCGTCCCTCTGAGCAGGTGCTGTTCCAGGAATGGTTTTGGTGGAGACTGGCACAGGTGTGGAAGACTGAGTTTTCTGTCCTCTTCCCTCTTCTCCCCGGACACCCCCTAAAGTCCTGAGGAAAGGAAGTGAGCAAGACCCTCATACCAGGCCTCTGCCTACACCCCCAGTTCTACCAAGAGCCCCAGCAAGTGGTTTGAAGACAGCCAGTCACCCCCTTGCCCACGTGTACTGCGATGGCAGAAGGTCTGGTAGGAAACCATCAAGCCACTCGCCAAGAAGGCATCTCCAGAGCTGTAGAGACTCCAAAGAAGACAGTGGGACAAGGGGTGGCTCTAAGAAATTTCCAGAAATGGACTGGGAAGGTGGCTCAGTGGTAGAGTGCTTGCCTCAGAAGCATGAAGCCCTGGGGTGGATTTCTCAGCACCACATACACAGAAAAAGCTGGAAGTAGCACTGTGGCTCAAGTGGTAGAGCGCTAGCCTTGAGCAAAAGAAGTTCGTGGACAGTGCCCAGGCCCCGAGTTCAAGCCCCAGCCAGCTGCCCAGCCTGCGACACTGCAGAGGTGAGGCGCAGCTGTGAACACCACCCCAGCCCCGCGACCAAAGAGGGGACAGGGGCTGAGCAGTCTGACCTCAGGAACCAAATGTCCAGCCTTTGTAGAAATCCTCTGATACATGATGGGACAGATACATGTGGTTCTGGTAGGTTCTGAGAGATTCTGGTGGGTTCTAGTAGGTTCTCAAAAGCCTCCCTCAGCTTCTTTGCCTGTATTGATCATTTTGGGTGGCCCCGATGATGTTATAAATATCTGAGAGTCCTGGACAGTAGGAAAAGCCCCTCACCCCTGAAGAATTTGAGAGGGAGCTGCTGTTTGGGGCCAGGTCTGAGTGGGGAGCCCCCCCCCCCGCCCTCACGCCTGTGCTGCAGCCCCCTCTGCCTTGGCTCCCGCGGGGCTGCTGGCTTAGGGCAGGAGGAACGTCCTGGAAAGCTCCCTCAGAGATCATTTCTCCTCAAAGCACGTGGGGGCAGAAGTTGATGGGTTCCAGTTGTCCCAGGATTGGGTGGGGGGGGAGGTCCTGGCAAGCCTTGGTGGGCGGGGAGGAGGCGGGTGTGGACGGCAGTCAAGGCTGGGCCCGCCTCTCCTCCTCCTCCTTCCCTCTCCTGCCCAGCCACACCCACAGTCCCGCTGCGCAGAGCTGGAGTTGACACTAGCTGCCTGGCCATGGCGGTGATGGTGGCCGCGGACCCCGTGCTCCCCGCCTTCATGCTGTGCAGCACGCTGCTGGTCATCAAGATGTACGTGGTGGCCGTCATCACCGGCCAAGTGAGGCTGAGGAAGAAGGTAGGTGGTGCTTCCCGGCCCCCGGTGCGGGGGAAGCAGGGGCTCTGCAGAAAGTCAGGGAGCCACAGGAAACAAGGCCCCAGCTGCTTGGAGCTTCCTCACTGGCTTGGGACCAAGCTCCAAGCACCTTGGGTCTAAGAGCCTAGCCCGGCACTCCAGGTTACGTCTCTGATGCCTGCAGATTTGGGTGGTCCTGCAGGGCTTCTGGGAAGCACAGAACTTGAGCACGATCTGTCCAGTCCCGGCAGGGAGATTCAAGATCTGGGTGGAGAAGAAAGCGGAGGAAATCTCCCAGTGGAAATTCCCAGCTCCCAGCAGATGCTGCTCCGAAAGCCAGACAGCCTCAGGGGCCAGGGCTGGGTACAGGCCCCTTTGGGGGGCGGGACGGGGGGAGGGTGGGAAGAGGAGACCCTCTCCCCACTCCAGGCTCTGAACCTAAACAACAGTAAAGAGGCCAAGACTGAGCCAGGGTGGATGCACAGCCCCCGGGCCACACTCCAGGCTGTCTGCCGAGCACGCTGGAGGCAGAGAGGCCCCAGGCCTCTGCCCTCCCGGTGATTTGAATAGAGGAGCCCCCATCCGTAAACTGCACATGGGCCCTGGGGTGGGGCTCTTGCGTGCAAGCCTGGCTCAGCCAGGTATGGGCAAGCTTTTGGGTTGGGCAGTGCCCAGGACAGCATGCCTGGAGGCCACTTCCGAATCTCCCACTTTGGCCTGACCTGGTATGTGGGTACAGAGCAGGGGTCCCTAGCTCAGCCCTGAGCGGGGAGCAGGAGTGGAAAGAAAGGAGCCCGGTTCCTGTGGGTTTGCAGAGGGGAGTTTATACAGGTCCCACAGTGTGTTTTGAACCCAGTTGTCCAGTTCCTGAGCCCACAGCCTGTGCCGGAGCCTGGGTGCTATCCTGTTGCTTTTTCTGCTCAAGGCTGGTGCTCTACCACTTGAGCCACAGCTCCGCTTTTACTTTTTCAGTGGTTAATTGAAAATAAGAGTCTTGTGGCCTTATCTGCCCCAGCTGGTTTTGAACTGTGATCCTCACTCAGAATCCCAGTCTCCTGAGTCGCTAGCATTACAGGTGTAAGCCCCCAGCACCTGGCTTTGTCCTTGATTCCCTGGGGGGCTCCTGGTGTCAGCCACGCCTCCTCCCGCTTCTGCTCCCACACTCAGTAGCAGTGGGGGAGAGGCTGGGGACCCGCGGGGCAGATCTCCTGCTTTTCCACCCTCCAGACTTGGGTGCGACCTTGGGTAAGTGTGAGTTCCACGTCCCCCTCCATAAGCCCCCTCAGCAGGGCCAGAGGTCAGTGCTTAAGCACCCCACAAATCGTGGTCCGGTATGACTTGTCCGTCTCTGAAAGTGACATAAGCAGGTGCGGCTTCTGGTCCCTTCCTGGTTGTGCGTCCCGAGGCGTGGGCCCTTCCCCTGCAGCTGTCCACCCAGCCCGGCCAACAACTAGACTCAGGTTCAGCCTCAGGCCAGCAGCCCCGTGGACTCTAAAGGCAGCCCCTGTGCTGAGGCAGGAGCCAGGCTGATTGTTGGGGAGGAATTGTGTGGCCTGGGGGTTCTCACCTCTATGCGGGCAGGGCTGCCCTGACCTCTGTCCCCAGGGGGCCCTCGGGGCTTCCTGGTGCACAGTCGGAGCAGGAGCTCTCCCTGGCAAACTACTGAGCAATTCCCAGGCAATTCCCACCTCAAACCAGGCACTTCCTCAGAGCCAGCGGGACTGAGCATTTGCACTGTGAGATCAGCACCAGGCAGAGTTGAGGAGGCTCATCAACATGGGGGGGGGGAGGCTGGGGACCAGCCACTGTGAACTGTGATCTTCAAATAGAAGATCGGGCCCCTCTCACCAACAGTAACCCCTGGCTGATGTGTTTCAGGCTTTTGCCAACCCCGAGGACGCCCTGAGACACGGAGGCCCTCAGTTCTGCCGCAGTGACCCGGATGTAGAGCGGTGCCTCAGGCAAGTACTGTAAGGTTGCTCTTGACCGGAAACTGGCCCTGTCTTCTGAACATGGAGGGATTCTAGGGGGCAGGGAACAGCCGAGGGTCTCAGGGCCCAATGCCTCAGATTGTTTTAATTTATTCATTGCGTTAGTCTTGGAAAAGCACAATGTGCTCGTGACTCAGAATCACAAAGTTGGCAAAGGGAATTGGGTGAAAAGCCGGTTTCCCTCCTGCCTCCAACTTCAAGTTGTAGCCAGGACAAGGGTGCAGGGCCCTTGCTGGGACCAGTGTCCCACCCCACCCCCACCCCCAAGGCCCTGTGCATCCAGACAGAGAAGGGTTCGCCCACACCCATTGCTGCTGGAGCACAGACACTTCATCCCGCCACAGGGCACTGGGGCTGTTGAATTTCCCCTGTTGCTCTGATGAGCGGTCGGCCCCAGCTGCGCTCCGGGCCTCTCCGTTGTGGATAGACCACAGCGGCACCGCTGCCATCCATCGTGTACGTGTGCACAGGATGCAGAACTATCACCCCAACCCCCACGCACAAGTCTATCCCCCCCAGGAGACGCTGAACTGTTTGTCCACATCCTGGCCAGCTCAGCGTGTGGTCATATTTCTGGCGCATCATTGCCAGCAGAGCTTTAGATTTCTTTCTCCTCTCCATCCTTTGTTTTTTTTTTTTTTTTTGGTGTCAGCACTGGGACTTGAACTCAGGGCCTGGATGATGTCCCTGAGCTTTTTCACTCAAGGTTAGTATTCTACCACTTTAGCCACAACTCCACTTCCAGCTTTTTACTGATTAATTGGAGGTCAGGATCTCATGGGCTTTCCTGCCTCAGATCTCAGCCTCTGAAATACCTTGGATTACAGACTTGAGGCACCAGTGCCAAGATTTTTATTTATTTTTTTGTGAGAGCATTGTGGATGGAGAGATTATGTAGCCCAACCTGGTGGTCTGAAATTTATTGTTTATTACTGATGGAGCCCAGGCTGCTTCAGCCTCCTGAGTCTATCACCATACCTGGCTTGTGGTTTTGTTTTTGTTTTTGTTTTTTTGTCAGTCATGGGGCTTGAACTCTGGGCCTGGGCGCTGTCCCTCAGCTCTTCAGCTCAAGGCAAGCGCTCTACCACTTGAGCCACAGCA